CCATTTCAACTCTTTAGAATAAGATTATTGTCAGTAAGGGGTTGTGAAGATTATTGAATTTCATTGAAATTATGATTCGATCTAGGTTAGACCACAAGTGAAAACCTGGAAGCACTGAATAGTCGTGTCATTTGTAAGACAGTTACCAACCGAAGAAAGTGATAGTTGCTCATTCTCGTGTTTTGATCGAAGTTAGACATTAAGATCGTGGAATGCTGACTCTGTGGTCTAGTGATTAAGCACTTACGTTGAAAACAGGCCAGGGATTCGATCCGCGCATATGGAATCATGGACACGAACTTTTTAGGAGTCGTATACTTGGACGACACGGCCGTTCAGTACATCCAGACTTCCAATGGTAGTTTAACATTGATTGGTTCATGATTCCAATGAAATTAGATAATCTTTTGTAAATTTAAGCTGCCTTGACAATTGATAAGAAACCATGGTATACAATCGATTCATCATATTGCACAAATCTTGCTATTCCTGTTCAGTCTAAAATTATTACTAACAAATATTAAGGAATGCCCTAATATATATAACTCTTGAATGCATTTCAAAAAATTAACTTTAATTGTCCCTTGTCTAAATCTATTTACGAACGAGATGTATGAACAAAATATGCTGAGTTTAATTCAGTTTAGCTTAAGATCCTTAAAGTAAAATTGATGAGGTAAGATCCTTAGTAGATTGGTTATTTTTATTCAGTGGAGATTAATTTAAGTTCTGTTTACAACTCCAAATTTTTCATACATATATTTCCTTTTATCATCAAGAACAAAGATTCTAACAGAATAGAATGAATTCATTTCACGAGCGGGATCGTGGATGCGCACTGCTGAGGAGTTCCATAATAAGACGAGACGGCTGTCCAGTGCTTCCAAGTTCCCAATGACGGTCTAACATCAACCGATTCATGATCTAAATCATTTTATTTCATTTGGTTCTCGTCAGCCGCTTACAACCTGTGATATTTAAAAACATAATCACAAAATGGGTTTAAATCAGTTACGTGAAAGAGTTTAGTCGGATATTATTTTAAAGAAATCATTATACTATGGCAAAAGTGTAGGCACATCTAATAAACTGAATATTGTAAGTACATACCTTAGGCAAAAGAACATTCTACAACACTGATTGTAACAAGAGTTCAAAAAGCCAGAAACAAGTGGTTACGTAATGAGTAAACTCTGATAAAGATAAAATGAGTAAAGCTCAGTTAATAAATTAAGTTACTAATCTAGAAGACAGTTGAAATGAAAAGACATTATGATGTAATTAAATAAAAGGAAGAATTGGAAATTTTTTTGAAGATGCAACGAAGGCATATTTGTCATCAAGGTAAGGAGAGATCAATAACAACCTCCTTTGGAACACACAAACCAAGTTTTTGATACCTGATAGGAACAACTTCAGAAGACTAAGGCTTGGCTGCCTATTAATCACCTTGAAAGATTTAAAGGTATCGACCTGATATCCTGTCGCTAAAGCATTTCTCGACGTTCATCAATCCTTCTCCCAGTTTGTCGGTGATATATATACGTTCTACACCATAAAAGTGTTTTGACCAATGCTTTCTTGTAACTGAGTGGACAAAAACTACTGAAATTCAGGTAAAGACCATTCCAAGTACTTTTACGATAAATCGAACGTTGAACTGTCCCGTCTCCTCTACGTTGTATGACAATATCAAGATGGTGTAACATGATATCCTTTTTGTGTTTCATAGTAAATTGTATATTGGGATCAACATTACTGAAGAGTTTTAACGGGCTGATTGCATGCTGTTTAATATTGCAGACAACACATGTGCCATCAACATATATGGACTATTCCGTTGTTTCGCTAATCGCCTGTTTAAGTACCGTAGTTTCAAGATACCCCATAAAAATATCTACCATAATTAGGCCTAATGGACTTCCCATAGGTAAATCATCAATTTGACAGTATATAGTGTTAGTGAACTGATATTGAACGTCTTTTGTGCATAGATACCATGGTATTAAAATAAACTCCTTAAAGGCAAAATCTTGTTTTTCATAACTCACGGTAGCTTGGTATGGGAGATAGTTAAAGATTTTATCACTCTATACATTACCAAAAGGTCTCGTAGTATAGACACACAAGACGGGATCGCGGATGAGCACTGCTGAGAAGTCCCACGACAGGACGAAATGGCTGTCCGATGTTTCCAGGTTTTCTATGATGATCTAGTTTCAACTGACTCATGATCTCAACAATTAAGTTAATTTAAAATTGTTAGAAAATTTAAATTTGTTGAACCGATTGGGATTTTTAATGGATCCAATAGATTATTTAACATTAATATATTATGATTAGCTGTAATAAAGTGAATTTAACACAGTATGTTTTAGTTCTAGTTATTTTTGTTAAATACAGTTTTTTGATTTCAAGGCTATTGACACGATTTATGATTGTATAAGGGTTTCATTCAATTGTACAGTTAATTATCTTACAATAAATATAACAGCATGGAAAAAATACTGTAAATTATATAAACACATTATTATCTAGACTTTCTGTTCTAGAGGCTGAAAGTTCGCGCACGAGATCGAAAGATCTGGGTTTGAGTCTCGCGTGTAAGATCGTGAATGGGCATTGCTTAAAAGTCCCATACCGAGACGTAACAGTCGTTCAATGCTTCCAGGTTTTCAATAGTGATGTAACTTACATTGACTCATGAGTTCAACTATTAAAATTACTACAATCTCCACAAATCCCCATTCTAACATAATTGTTACAATTTTTTAGTAACGTTAAATAGTATCTAGTTATGGAATTCAAAAAGTGGTTTTCTTTTTATTCTGGACTCATTAATTAGGTACACCAGCATCGCAGTGTTAATGTTCAGAACACAAGTTCTAGATTATACAGCTAGCCATTATTAAATTTTGCCAAAAAAAGAAAACAACAACAACAACAACTTACAGGTTCAACAATTATATCATAGTAGTGCATTCAAGATGTAAATATATCAAAAGAGGCTAAACAATTCTAATCTTTAATATCAATAACTTGTAGATACAAGCATTAACAAATGATTGTTACAGTTTACTGTCTATACAAATCAAAATCTAGTGATTTCTTTTACATGTTCATCTATGTAATTTATAATGGTTTATTTAAAGTATTAAAAATTTATTCCTGAACTGCTAACTTCTAACTGACAACCATTCAATATGTTATCTTCAGGATAGACTAAGTAATAAGAAACGCAAACTTGTTGAAATACTTTATGCTGTTTATCATATATTTTACCAAGACTATAATATTGAATACTGCGGATAATAATAATAATAAAATGAACAGTTGTCAAATTATAAATAAATAATATATTTGTAATATCCCAATGAGTAGAAAAAATAGATTTTCTGACGTTTCGTGACTTAGCATGAGCTACTTCTTCAGAGAATAAATAACCGAATTAAAATTAATCCAAGTTTGATTAGTACAACGGAACAACAAGTTGTTCATGAACATGGTTATTATTTAGTTTACTACTTATTAATGAATATCATATCGTAATAATCAGTAGTAGAAGAGAAAAATATGATGTCAACTTGAATGAAGTTAATTGAAACATTTGACTACTTCTTTAAAAACAAAACAATATGTTACATTGAACCAAATGGAAATTTTCAAATATATCAAACTGCTCATTCAAGCTTATATTAAATTATATAATAATTATAAATATACGGTACAATCGTATAGTATAACTATCAAATTATTTATAATTATCAGTATAAAGGTTATGGAGATTATCAAGTTTTTGATTGAGATCATGAACCGATTCGTCTTAGACCACCATTAAAAACCTGGAAGCACTGCACGGCCGTTTCGTCCTATTTTAGGACACCTCGGCAGTGCGCATCTACGACCCCGTTAGCGGGATTCGAACCTAGGGTATTCAGCCTCGCACACGAACGCTTAACCTACTGGACCACTGAGCCGGCATCCAATTGTGTTAGTGTCTAACATCTCTCGCGAGACTGGAGGCCTTGTGTTCGAATCCCATGGGCGGGATCCTGGATGCGCACTGCTGGAGAGTCCCATAATAGGACGAAACGGCCGTCCAGTGTTTTCATGATCTCAATCAAAATATTTATAATGAATTTAAGAGTTTTTTCAATAGAAAATAAACAGAATCGTAAATATTAATAATATTGATTTCAGTAATCTATCTTGATATAATGATATGTGAAAAAAATTTTGTTTAAAAATGAATAAACTGGATCATAAACACCAATAAAATGTGTAACAGCATGGTTCATTTTTAACAGTTTCTTTCATGCTCAAACACCAATGCATCAATTTCGATTTGAATAACCAGTTAGTATAACTAGCTTACATATTTGAAGTGTGCTTCATGATCAAATACACAAATCTTTTAATCCTTAAGTTTGACAAAGAACTTGAATGATAATAATAAAACATTTGAGTAGTCATTGTGATACTTTGAATAGGACTTACAAGTGGTTGTTCCTATTTTGCTTCAGACAATCAATTACATTGAGATCATGAACGGATTGATGTTAGCCCACCACTGAAAACCTCGAAGCACTGTACGGCCGTTTCACCCTATTGTGGGACTCTCCAGCAGTGCGCATCTGCGATCCTGCTCACGAGATTCGAACGCAGGGCCTTCAGTGTCGCGCGTGAACGCTTAACCTACTAGACCACTGAGCGCTGGAAGTGGATAGGACACACATTGAGGAAAGCACCCAACTACGTCACAAGACAAGCCTTCACATGGAATCCTCAAAGCCAAAGGAAAAGAGGAAGACCAAAGAAAACATTACACCGGGAAACGGAGATAGACATGAGAAAAATGAACAAGAATTGGATGGAATTAGAAAAGAAGGCCCAGGATAGAGTGAGTTGGAGAATGCTGGTCAGCGGCCTATGCCCCATTAGAAGTAACGGGCGTAAGTAAATAAAGTAAGTAATCAATTACATAACAATTTCAAACTTACATTGTTTTAACAAAATCAATGTTTCTTTCTCTTCATCTTGTCCAATTGGTTTATCAATAAATTGATTATTCACATCAATTTCAGCTTTTAATCGATTACGTAATATTATTGGTAAGGAATTCCATTCAGATTCATTATTCACATTGACTTTTGGTACCGTTTTCAAATGTAATTGATGTAAAATTTTATTTTTAAATTTTTCAATTATAGATTGTATTTTTTCATTATATTGAAGATTATTGAATTGTGGATTTTTATCATTTTCATTATCATAAGAATTAACACCATGATCATTTGTAATGATATTAGATAAAAATGGATTATTCATTTGTTGTGTAAGCCAATGATCTGAATGATATAAATAGGATCTAAGTGATTGTTTTTGTTCATTAGATAATTGTAAATAATATCTTAATGGTCTATGATAATATTGTTTGAATGTATTAGTTGTTGTTGTCGATGTTGGTGTTGATGTTGGGGTTAAGATAGATGCATCAACTGTCAGATTCATTGAATGAAATAAATCATATTTTAATTGACTTTTAATAATAATCATTAATAAAATAATAAAAAATTTTATATTAAAATGATTACAGAAAGTTTTTAATAATAATTCTATGTGTGAATGAATATAATATTGAAACTGTTGAATTGATAAGAAAGCGGAATTTTCAAATATCATAGTTGATGATGATGATAATAATAATAATATATGATGTCCTAAGATTATAATTCGTTTATAAACAATATTATATAAGAGATTATTGTACATATTACTTATGTATTAAAGAATTGGGAAACTTTTTCTTTTTGATTGTCAATGATCTATTGAGAAACACTCTGTTGTTATATACATATATATATATATATATATATATTAGGTAGAAATATATATGTAAATTTAATTGGACAATACCTATGTGATCTTATCCGGTATACAACTCAAAGGTATTATAATATAAAACTGCTCACTTCACCGAATATCATATGAGATGAATTTGACTATAGACACTCAACATAATATTAGTTGTTATACATAGGGTGTGTATGTGTGTAGATATATATATATATATATGGGAAGTTGGAATGAATCTACCCTAAAGATGTATATGTCTATATATGAACACAAATACTTATTATTGTCTATTCAATTATATGAATTTTTAACTAATTTCACTGTTATTTTTTCATTGTTTAAAATTTTCTCTTCCTTTACAATCTCCCTTTATTGTTTTTTTTTTAAAAGAAAAATATGTATATATACATATTGTCTATGAACATGTTTTCAAAGAATACAAACTTTCCTCCCTTTCTTACAATTGTTGACATGGTAGAGAAGCAGTAATTTTGTTTCTAGGTATACATATCTATAAATGTATGGTTGTTAAGTTTTGAAAATGAACGTTTTTCGTCTGATTTTTTTTTAAACAATAGAAAGTAATAAGAATAATAATGAAATTAACTTATTCATAACCTTGGTTGGTTAGTGATAATCATTTTCAAAATATTAACTATAGAGAGATAGATAGATAGATAGACATGAAAATTATTCCCACCCACCTGTCAATAATTATTCATAAACCAATAGGATACTTTTATTTATTTCCTTTTTTTGGGATCAACTATACACTTATCACATTTGAACTATAGAATTGTAGATTAATTATCTGTTTGATATAAACAAATTAATTATTATATGAGATTTATGTAGATTATTCAAGGTTTTTTAATGTACATTATGACAATTATTTAAAATTGGAAAATACTGGAGAGTTGTTTTATCCTAGGAAAATGACTCTTCAATGATTCAAATGGATGATTAAATAATAGATCTAATTGAAGACTTTTAGATCTTGTAACATGGGATTAACTTTAGATGAATCATCTTTTGAGGACACTAATATTGGATGTAAGTACGTTTAGATACCATGTTTCAATATGATCTGAAAGGCTGTTTTAATATCATAGTTAGAAAAAACTGATATGATGGAAAGAAAAGTCACTTTTTGATTGATTTACTCATGATGAGTTTTGTTCAAGATTACTTCCGTTTCGACTCAATGTAGTATTTGTTTTCCTTCTTCGTATGATATTTTGTTCTGTAAAATATGCGATATTCTTGTATTCGATTGACATGAACTATGCTTAGTATATGGTTTGTTATATCTCTAAGTATTTTTCATATATGTTATTTCATCCCAATTATGAATCAAAATGGGTGTACAATCAATATATAAATAAGTGTATTTTCTACTAGAGTTGTCGTCGTCGTTGTGTTTTTGGGTTAATAAATCTTCACTTAAACCAGTCTTTGTGTTCTTACTTTCACATCGTGGGAATTGCAGAGGTCCCTCGTTTCGAGTATAAGTGATAAACGTTTCCGATATAACAATCAGCGACGACCAGATACAAGAAGTAGCATTAAAAGAGTCAAAACAATAAGCATTCAAACGACAAGTTATAACAAAAACACAAGCTTTTTTGAAAAATTCTTAGTGATGTTGTATCTAGAGAAGTGTTTATAGTGCATAATTCAGTAATATGAACAATATTTCACAGATTAGTGGTGATCATAGATATTTTTACTAAAAAAAACTATAATCGAAAATACTGGATTCATTATTACTAAGCTTATCTTGTCTGACAGTAACATTGAAGAAGGATGTTAATAAGAACAATACTGAATAAATTATTCATAAAATTAAAAATCATGGAAATTTGAGTTAAAATGGAAAGTTTAGTAACAATCTAATCACAATAATGAAAACAGAGTATGTACAGAATTGATAAAGCAAATGTTAAATCAACTATAATTATTAGCATTTTTGTCTAATCGTTTAAAATGAATAAATATAAGTTAGGCATTAATATCGTTGGATGCTGGCTCAGTGGTCTAAAGGTTAAACGTACACGCATAAGACTGAAGGTCTTGGGTCCAGTCCCGTGTGTGAGATTGTGGATGCTCACTGTTTAGAAGTCCCATACTAAGATGAGATGGCCATCTAGTGCTTTCAGATTTTTAATGGTGGTCTAGCTTATATTGATTCATGAATTCAACTGTGGAAATACTACAATCTTCACAAATCCTCATACTGAGGATAAATGTAAGTTGAGAAAACTATTGTACTTCACAATAATACATTCGTAATACTTGTATAAGTAATAAACAATTTGGATTACATGTTTGACACAACTTCGTTTAAGTTGCTTCATCAACACATTTGGATTTCGTAATTTACACATTGTTTCAACCACTTACCTTACTCTTTAAATGAAAAACGTATTTTGATTCATTTTTTAGGAAATTTTTAAAATTAATTTAATGGTTGTTAAATATACGATACATTACTATGATCGATTTCATTTTAACATTTCCAAGGTTTACAAAATCGTGACGAAGTCTTTTAAGATACTTTAAATGGTAAGACCTGTAGTGTCGGTTACTATGTTAAACCCATATAACTTATTCTAGCTTCGGGACAGGCCAATTTCTTCATTATTCTTGTGTCATATTTTGACCTTGTTAATTATTCACTTTTCAACCTTGAGTGTTTATATATGAGCCTATGTGTGTACACTTTTTATCCTTTTCATCACATGTCTGTAACTTATTTTTTTGTGACCATAAACTCTCGGTTAAATGGAGACTGCTTACATGCCTTCTTCACTGAGCGTCGTTTCGCTTCGTCCCTCTGATTGTCTGTTCAGATGAATGTGTACAAAATATACATATTCAAAACTTCGTTCTCGTACTTGATTTATTTAATTCCGTTATTCAGCAACTCAAGTTAAGTCGATAACAATATACGAGAATAGCCAGGATATATATTTCGACAACAATCATTCAATAGCGATCAATATATGATCTAATCGGAGTCAAATTTTGGGCTACTAAAGTGGTGAGCTTATTGACAACATTGTCCAATCTAATTGACAACAAAATAAAGGCCTCCATTAAAGACTCTTCAATATGAAATGTTTCATCATGACGACCTAAATTTGTAGTTTAGTGTTACTATAAATGAGATTTATCTATTACTTTAGCCATAAAATTTTCAATATTAAATCAATTTTTCCTGTGTATTTAGTTTTCTTTTCACAATATTTAATGATTATCGGTAAACGATTTTGTGAAGATTGTAGAATTTTTGTGGCTTAAATCACAAACTGATTTTAGATAGACCACCACTGAAAAACCAAGTAGTACTAAATAGTTGCTTTATCCTAGAATGGGACTCCTCAGTAGTACTCATCCACGAACTTTGCACAAAGAAATAAACCCAGGATCTGTGGTCTCAGATGTGCATGCGAACTTCTAAACTATGAAGCAGTCACCTAGGGGTATACATGTCTAACTTCAATGAATTTGCGATATTTTAGGAGTTCTAGTGACCAGTCGAGTTCAAAAATTTTGGTTGTGAAACTACATTACATTTTATGATAGACGGTCACGTATTAACGTGAATTGATTGGAGTTAGACACCTATACCACTGGACGATGGTTTACTGATCTAGAGGTTAAGATTTTATAAGAGTTTCTCTTTTGTGATTTATCACTGAAAACATCTCATTTTCAATTAACAGTTAATTTGACTTGATATAAATTTCATCTGACAACAGTCAATGTACATACAGTGGTAATCTTCACAAACTGTACTTCATAATTATTGAGACTTAACATATTCTTTTAAAGTTACTTTGATTTTATCGGGCATCTTTTTAAAAATTAATGGAGCACATATGACAGCGTGATTGTCTTTTCTGATACGCCATACTAGCTCGTATGAGTGTAAATTAAAAACAGGCTATCATTAGTCAAAACAATACATAATATGTATTATTGAAATGATAAGCTATTGGATAGAATAGACTTAAACGAAGCAGACATTTTCATGTATACAAGTGAAATACTCTTATTCCGTAGTCAGTCATCTCAAGTTAGGCGACACGAAATCAGTCGGAAGCATACTGTTACTCTATGTTTGTAGACTCCCCGATGTCACCCTTCTTTTCGGGTTACATGTCGTCTTTTGAATAAATACCCAAAGTAAGGTCAATATTAGTTTTCATTACATAAACAAGAGTACGTTTATTTGACCTCCATTTAGAATAACATACTTTTTTGATCTCCTCTTCATAAGTCAGAAACAACGATCTCAACTTTCAAAGGTTATCTGGAAACATATTTAATTACATTTCTTCCAAGCTCAGTTCTTCAGAAAACAATACTTAAGTAATCAGTAGTCAAAAGCTGCAAGGGACGGCTCATATTTAATTTTCTTTTACTCAAGACAGAAGATAGACAGTCACTCTATCTTTTCATCATTCTTCCAATCTTCAAACTTGATTCACTTGAAAATAACTAGTTTTCACTGTCTGACCTCTCTCTCTTTTTCTCTCATAGTCATTCTTCAACATTTTACTTATTTTGTAAACAGTAGCAACTATTTTGTGACTGATATATTAACTTGATCAGGTCATAATTACTAGAATGTACTCTGCCCTAAATCTGGCCGATTCTATGGGTTACTAATTTGGATTTATAATTGTAGAACCTGATGAGGAATTATTGAAAAGAATAATCTTCGTTCACACAATTGTGTTACAATATTTAAGGTTGAAAATGAATCATTTAGATAATACCTAATGTTTAAGCAAATCCTAATACTTACTTACTTATTTACGCATATTACCCCTTGTGGAAAAGCATAGGCCGTCCACCAACATTCTCCATCCAACTCTATCCTAGACGATTCTCCCCAATTGTTTCCAGTTGTTATTCATTCTTTTGATGTATGCTTTCAAGTCCCGAGTCAATGTATTCTTTGATCTCCCACTTTTCCTTTTCCCTTCACGATTCCAAGTTAACACAATCTATAGCTCTCCTAATGTTATTACCGATCCCAATTCCAGGTAAAGGATGAGAGTTGGATATGTTGTCAACAACTCCATCTCGTAGAAAACAACCTTTCTAAAAAATAAAAAAAACTGACCAGAATAAAATTTTAATACTATTTCATTTAAATAATGTAAGCAATTAATTAGCAAGTAGACAGTTCACTAATTTTTTAAACACCAAAAGTATTTCATAAATCTATTACATTGAGAAGTTTTATAAACTCTCTATCAACTGATTTATAACTGAACATAATTTCAATTTAATTTACTTAACTAATTAACTGAAATGTAAGTTTAAAAGTTGAGATCATGAGTCAATTGAAGTTAGACCACCATGGAAAACTTGGAAACATTGAACAATCGTCTCGTCATTTTGTGGGACTCCTTAGCAGTGCGCATCTGCGATCCCGTCTCGCGAGATCCCAGTCCAGAACGTATCAGTCTCGCGTGAACGCTTAACTTCTAGACCACTGAGCCGGCCGTCATCCAACGGTGTTGATGTCTAACTTCAACCAATCCACAATTGTGGACTACTGAGGAGTCCTACAGTAGGACGAAACGCCCGTTTTGTGCTTCCAGGTTTTCCATGGTGGTCTAGCTTCAATTAACTCATAATCTCAACGAATAAAATTACTATAATGTCCACAAAGACCCTTCTGATATGAAATGCAAGTATTAACAATTGGTCATATGAACTGTAAAACAACACCATCATCATCATCATCATACAATTGAGAAGTATCTGGATAAAGAACTTTTTTTCAGATACTAACCTTAACCAGCACATGACTATGTAGTTGTAAAACGCCTACAAAATGAATACATCTCTGACATGCATACATGTTTATCGCCTCAATACAATAGTCTTATTATTATTATTTTTTATTTGTTCCCTATTGACTATATTCCTTTAATAGATTTCTAATTGTATATCAAACACTTGATAATATCAACTGATTAGTAAATAGAGAAATATATAAACCTGACACATCATTATAAACAAACAAACAT